AAACAGAAAACAGAAAAATTGGAATATTTTTTTAGTCTTTAGTGAACTTTTTTTTTCAAATTTATTCATAAACATTATTACATTATAGATGCATCTAGATTAGATGCAGCTAAAAAAATAAAAACAAATTTAACTAAAAAAAGAAAAAAATTTACTAAAGACTAAAAAAAATGAAAATATACTAATTCAAACACCTGTATTGTCAATTCTGAAATGAAAAATTTACTATCATTTTTTTTCGTCTTTAGTGAACTTTTTTCTTTTTTTAGTTAAATTTGTTTTTATTTTTTTAACTGCATCTAATCTAAATGCATCTATAATGTAATAATGTTTATGAATAAATTTGAAAAAAAAAAGTTCACTAAAGACAAAAAAAATTCCAATTTTTTTTTTTGTTTTTCATTTTTTATTTTTTGCATCTTTAGTGAATTGTTTACATCACATATAGAGCTGATGTGTTAGTGATGTGATAAATTCTGTTACTTTTTTGGATGGAAGTTAGTCTAAGAGTAAAGTGAGAAACATAAAAGGCTAAAATGGGAAGGATTACAAATATGAAGGGCCAAAGTAAGAAAAATCAAACTTAAAGTGCTAAAGTGGAAAGGATTGGAAACATGAAGGATCAAAGTGGGAAGGATTGTAAATATATAAGGTTAAAGTGAGAAAAAACAAACTTAAAGGGCCACAATGGGAGATGGGTAAAACGGTATGGGGGCAAAGTGTACATTATCCTAAAAATCCTAATCTTTTAATCATTGAACTCATTGTAGGTATATATATATTAAGGAAAATGAGGTTATGAGAAGCATTGTTGAGCTCTAAGACCTCCAACAAATTTTGTTGATTTTTTAATTTAAAAGATATATGAGAAAAAGAACTATTGGCTAATCTATTTAATTAATCATTTAAAAAATAATTATTATTCCTCGATTTATGATTTTCAAAAAGCATAATTTGTGGCTTTTAAAAGGAAATCAATATTCATACTTAAATATCATATTACTAACATATTCTCTCCACAATCTAAAAAACCTTAGCTGTAAATCAAAACACAAAACATGCAGCGGATAAAAATAATTGGATCATACCTTCTTGATGATAGAACCTCGTGGATAAATCACGTGCTTCAGAAACTGATAAAACAACCCAGCAGTGGAGTGATATCATAGATTGAATATCACCCACACAACTCACAGTGCAAAGGACTTGATTGTTGTTTTGGGGAGAGAGACAGTATATGGGTAGAAATAGATCATACGTTTTTTCTCACTTAATCACCCATAACCATATATCAGATATATAATATATTATTATAATCTATCCATATCAGTTAAAACTGATAATATCTATATCCTGAGTGGTTATCCTAAATAGGTTTGAATTGAATTTCAAAACCTATTTGGATAAGGTTCAAATTCAAATGGTCATGCCACATGGGCGACCATTACTAACATCTCCCACTCGCACATGAGTTGGCATGACACTGCCACATCTCTATCTCAATCTCCCCAAAAATGAACAATCTGATACTAGCCAATGCACCGTGCGACCGCTGAGAACACCTGCATGTGGGAGCTCTATACTAGAAACTCAATATGAGTCAGCATAGAGACATCAACCCAAAAAGAACAGAAATAGTGTCTCATGTACCCAGACCCATCTAGCTACATCAGTCCAAAAACATCTCTAATCCCTCAAAGAGCATGTTTGACTCTCCTAGGTCCCACATTATATTCACACCCAATCTGCATCTTATAAAGAGTGATGTGAGTTGTCGACAGTGAATATAGAGTAGAGATGTAGAACTAGATGATCTTCCCTTCACCCTCATATCATTCAATTTTAAATTGACCGCTTTCCCAGTAATGTCCCTTAAAGCCGAATCATACATGACCGCAGGCAACATACCAAAGTAGCTGAACATCAACTCCTCATCTTATGACATAGTCAAAGGTCACAAAAGGCACAAAGTGAAGTCATTTAGGAAAAAAAATGACTTTTAGGACTCACATGGTGAAGAAGCAGGGATCCATTCTTTCACCTCGCTAACGGGTCGATAAGCACATGCAGTATGAATGCATGTTATAGTGGAGTTACTCTTTCAAAGAGTGATATTAAACTCACACACCATATAGATCTTAGTCTAGTCGCTCTTAAGTGCACGAGTCGCTTCCTAGCGTCTAACTCGAATTCTATATTTGCTCGCCTCTCAGGCATCAAATGAGATCTCGCATCTGGCTATCCATAACAGATATATCATGGAAAAGTGGGTACTCTCATATCCATGGTCGGTCCCTAACAAGACCTCATCTTGGCTCCAACCAAGGCGACATAGCTAGTGGATAATTTTAGCTTCTAGTCTCATCCTTACTCGCTACCCAGCGCTAAGGGCGATTGCTCGTGTGAGTGAGCCAATCTTGCCTGCTAACATCAATTTAATTATTTTGTGTATGCTAATTCACAAACCATTGCTAAAAGTAGTAAACATAAATGTGTAATAGAAACAAATATGAATACTAATGGCATAAATATCCCCAAAAAAAAAATGAGTTCAACTGAATACACATAAAAATATCACCACCTACGTAGTCCTAAAGCCCTAACATGAGTAAGATAAACATCTATAGCAATGGGCTTAGTCAAAGGGCCTGCAACCATGCGACTCGTAGGGATGTGCTCCAGGATCACTTCTTTCTGCGCCAAAATGTCTCTGATAAAGTTGAACCTCACATCAATGTGTTTGGTTCTGCCGTGGTATTTAGGATCCTTAGCGTAAGCGAGTGAAGCCATACTGTCACAATGGATAGTCACAGGGTCTGAAGTGTGTGTGACAACATCCAAATGCTGAAGGAATCTCCTCTACCAAACGACTTCCTGAATGGCAGATGCACAAGCCACAAACTCAGCCTCCATAGTCGATAGGGCGATACAAGATTGCTTCTTACTGCTCCATGAAATAGCACCATCGCTAAGCATGAAAGCATATCCTAAAGTAGACTTACGCTCATCAAAGTTTCCTCCCCAGTCAGCATCACAATAGCTAACTAGATGTAGATCTGAACTTTGGTAGCAAAGTGTGTAATCTACAGTCCTTGTAAGATACCGTAATATCCTCTTAACTACTTTCCAATGAGTTGGTCCTGGGTTGGATTGGTAACGACTCACCAATCCGACTGCATAACAAATGTCAAGCATATATCTGGCCAAGTACATATCATAGCATACATCAGGCTTCCTACTACATTAGCATAGGGCACTTGGGCCATCTTTTTTTCTCTCTTCAGGGGTCTTAGGTCTCATATTAAGGCTTAGACTCTCACCTTTAGCTATAAAAGTGTCAACAGGTTTGTAGCTCTACATCCAGAATCGTTCTAATATGTTCTTAATGTAAGTCTCTTGAGACAAACCAAGAAGTCTCCTAGAGCGATCCCTAAGGATCTTAACACCGAGCACATAGCCCGCCTCCCCCATGTCCTTCATTTCAAATGTAGAGAACAACCACATTTTACTGGCGACAATCATCTCCTTGTCATTTCCAGCCAATAATATGTCATCTACATATAATGACAATATCAGAAAAATGTCCTTGGACCGCTTAGCGTACACACAGTGATCTTCATCAATCATCGTAAACCCATTCGAAACAACGGCTCGATGAAATCTCATATTCCACTATCTGGATGATTGCTTTAAGCCATAAATAGATCGTTGAAGCTTGCAAACTTTGCGCTCCTGACCTACTGCCACAAATCCTTCTGGTTGATCCATATAGATCTCTTTATCCAATTCTCCATTGAGAAATGCAGTTTTAACGTCCATATGATATAGCTCTAAGTCCAACTGAGCTACTATGGCCAGGATTAGGCGAATAGAGGCAAACCTTACAACTGGTGAAAAAGTTTCCTCATAGTCCACACCCTCTCGTTGGGTGTAACCTTTCGCCACTAGGCGAGCCTTATACCTTTCTATGGAACCATCCGCCTTGCGCTTGATTTTGAGAACCCATTTGTTCCCAATAGTCTTGCGCCCTAGCGGCAAATCAACCAAGTCCCAGACATGATTTTTCTTCATAGACTCTATTTCTTCATCCATTGCAGTACTCCATTCTTTACTAGCAGGGGATGAGAGAGCCTCTTTGAGACTCTTAGGCTCCATCTCATCACTCGGAGCAATCATGAATGCTTCCCCTTCAATCTCAAAACGACAACGGGGTATAGCTCCATGTTTGCTTCTACATAGTTGAGAATCCTGAGAATCTTCATCCATTGGATCTAATCCATGGGTAGTTAGATCGCTCCCACTGTCCCTAGGAGCTTGAGGAATTATTTCCTCATTCTCTACTAAGCTACTAGGTGCGCCTTCAAGTGGATCCTCCATCTCGTAGAATTCTACTTCTCTAGTTACTTCACCTCTGCTAGGGAAATCCTCCTCTAGGAAATCCACATCTCGCGACTCAATTTCAGTCACACTTCCATCCGGATGCTCCCCAACAAACACATAGCCCTTAGAATGCTCACTATAGCGAATGAAGATACACTTCTTTCCTCTACGGCCCAACTTCCCAAACTTATGAGAAGCGTTGTGTATGTAAGCTGCCGAACCCCAAGGCCGCAAATTGCCCAAATCAAGCTTTTTGCCACTCCACATCTCATATGGGGTGGAAGGAACTAATTTGGAGGGCACACGGTTAAGGACGTAGGCAGCAGTCAACAAAGCATCTCCCCAGTAAGAAATTGAAAGATTAGCTTGCGCCATCATTGATCTAACCATGTCAAGCAATGTGCGATTCCTTCTCTCCGCTACACCATTTTGTTGCGGAGTCCTAGGAATTGTCAATTGCCTGATAACTCCTTTTTCCTCACAGAGCACTTTAAATTGCTCAAATAGATACTCACGTCCTCGGTCAGTCCTTAGAGCTTTAATGCTCTTGTCTAACTGATTCTCAACCTCATTAACATACCGTCTAAAGCAATCCAATGCTTCTGACTTGTGAGAAATCAGATGAGATTCCAACCAGATCTCACTGTGACATTTCATCACCACGTGATCAATTCAATGAGCCTTCCCAATCCAAGTTTCAAACCAACCATGGTAAGCACATCTCAAACTCAACTTACCAAAGCTACTCAATAACATGGTTCTCAATTTTAATTCCCTTCCACTAAACTCTTACTTTTTATCACAGGAACAGAAACACAAGTTGAAGGAACTCCAACTAATTGTCCTGAACCCACAAATGAAAATAACACAGAGGTTAGGGCTGAAAAAATGGACAATGCCTCCTCATCAGATAAACAAGTTGGAGAGCATACACCTACTCCCATGGATGACTCTCCTCATGGAATCAACCAAACAACTGGGGTAAAAAACATGGAAGAAAATCCATCAGTAAATGAAAACATTGAAGACATTAACCCATATGCAACAAGTGAGCCTCCTGGCATTTCCTCAAGCTTACAAGCTCTAGAGGTTCCAAGTACTCTGATCAGCCTTGAAACACCTCATGTTAAAAATATATAAATATATATAAAAATAATAATATAAATACATTTTTTATATATTAAATAATATAAATAATATTTTTATTTAAATATTTATATTTAAATAATATAAATAATATTAACAAAAATTATCGAGCCAAGCTGAGTCGAATTCGAGTTTCATTAAAATTGACGAGCCGAGCCGAGCTCGAGCCCAATTTCTTATCGAGCTAAGTTCAAAATCAATAAACGAGTTTAATAAGTAAATGAGTTGAGCTTAATCTCAACAAAACTTGACTCGATTCGATTCGTTTGTTGTGGTAGGGACAAGCAATCAGTCATCTTCATAACATAACTGAATCTCATTTTCAATTTCAAAACCTTGGATTCAATTTTCAACGCCCCGTCAAATAAGTAACATCTCCCCGTCAAATCAGAAGAGTCCCAAGGCAAAAAAATATCTAGTTACCAAATTGAATTGAAAAAATATCTGATTACCGAATTGAATAGAGTTTTATATTCGAAATAGTATTACATACGTCAATTATTTTAATAATTAGGAAAAATATTATAAGTTTTAAATTTTACTAAATAAATGACTAAATATACTTTTGTGAACCTCACATTCATATGAGATATTTAGTCATTTATTTGATAAAAAATTTAGTATCTTTAACATTACTCATCAATTAATATACCAACATATATTATGACACAGTCATTTTAAAATTATGAAAAAATTATAAAAATTCAAAATTTCTAAAATTATGTCACTGTTAATACACTAATTGATATACCAATCGATACATATAATTTTATTCTATTCAAAATGTTGATCCATTTGTGGTCTTTATTACGTCATAATTAAATCCTTTTGCAGTTGTAACTATAAAAGAAAAAATCATAATTAAATATCATACAAAATATAATTAAAAAAATTGAATCATAATTAAAATACTAAGTAACATCACCCCGTTGATTGAACCACTAAGGTTTATTTTGACATCTGGATTAAAACTCAAGTTTTTACTTTTTTGACTTTTTTAAGTCACATCACCATTTTATTTTATTTTTTGCACGTTTTTATAATTAAAAAAAAAAAACCTGACTTTTAAATAAGCCTAAAATGTATTCTAAATCAAAAGAGTCGCAAGGCAATAAAAAACCTAATTATCAAATGACTAGAGTTTTATATTGGGTCCAGTTTGTTTCATGTTTGAAATCAGTCCAATTTGGCCCATGGGATTATTTTTGGGCCCATTTTGATAATTTGAACCATTCAATATGTAGAACTCGTCAAGTACTATATCCTTGTAAAAATTCAAGTTAATCGGATATCGATAACTATATGACCAGATCAAATTTGTATAAATAAATGGATGGTGAAAAAATAAATGATTGACAGAATTCTGATCCGATCAAATAACTATCGATATCCGATCAAAGTAAATTTTTATAAAGATATAGTACTTAACGAGTTCTACATATTGAACGATTCGAAATATCGAAACGGGACCCAAAAATGAGCCCATAGACTGAATTGGATAGTCCAATCTTGATCTCAAACATGAAACAAGCTGGACCTTTTATATTCAAAATGTTGATTCATTTGTGGTCTTCATTATGTCAACTAAGGCCCCGTTTGGGGAGGGGCTAAAAAAGTCAAAAAACTAATATAAGTTGTCAAATTATTCTCTACTTTTTTTTTACATATTTTTTAATAAAAAATCAAAAAGTCACTAAAAAAAACTACCAAACACCTGGTAAATCCTTTTGTGTCGTAATTATAAAAGAAAAAGCCATAATCAAACCTCATATAAAGGTATAACAAAAAAATATATATATAATTAGAATAATATTTATAACTAGCATCATAATGATTTATAATTAAGTTATAACTAACATCACAATAAATCATAATAAAGATCAAAATTGTCTTAATTAGAACGTATGGTATACACCCCAAAAGGTATTATAGAATCCCTATTATGATAGATGTTTGAGAAAATAACAAAAAAAATCTCAGTGTTTGATCTTTGTAACAAAATAAATTCTAATTTTTTTATTTTGTTAATTTAAAGTTTAATTGTTAATTTGTTTATAATTTAAACCATTTGCCTATTTTTATTAAATAAAACTGATGGATTAGTCATTAAATTGAACAAAAAATAATATTTCAAGCATTTTATATACACCTACATTGAGTTTAATAGCTAAAATATTTTTTTTTTTGTTACTTTTACTTGACCAAAATAGAATTAGAATTTAAATTAACAAATTAAAATTTTTAATATTTATTTTGTTACAAAAGTCAAATTCTAAGATTTTCTCTATTTTTTTAAAAAAATAGCAATTTTCGGGTGCTTTCATTACTTAAATCTATTATTAATAGATATATTAATACAATAATGACATGGTCATGATAGATTACTTTAGTGTCGGTGTTTATTCGTAATAAATTATTACAATGCATAAAGTTATAATATGTCGTTAAATTTAGGAAAAATTACTTATTAGTGGTCCTATTAAAAAAAATATTACAGAATTATAAAAGAAATTATAATTCTAATTATTTATATGTATAAAGTTTATCACTTGTCTGTAGTTTTTATTTTTATTTGTATTTTAAATCATACATTGAATTGAAATTCTCTCTTCAATTTAAAATTAATCATCTATAAGTTTGACTTTTTTATAAAGTGAAAAAAGTTAGTGTATTTGAAATGATTTTTTCAATTGAATATATAGTTATGAAGAAGAAAAAAAATTTAATAGGTATCGTATGATATTTTGATTCTTTTGTAATTTTTAAATTTTTTTAATTAAAAGATTGATTACCAAAGGAGACCTTAATAAAAATATGTGATTTTTTCACAACAATTTACACGGTATGATGCAGAGAGGAGTATTCATATCCCCATTTTTAATTAAAAATCAACTAAATATTTTTTAATTAAAAGATTGATTACCAAAGGAGACCTTAATAAAAATATGTGATTTTTTCACAACAATTTACACGGTATGATGCAGAGAGGAGTATTCATATCCCCATTTTTTAATTAAAAATCAACTAAATATTATATGAATTAGAATTTTAAATTAATTAATTGAATATAATTATGATAAAATTATATAAGTTATTACATTTTTTCAAAATTTTAGAGCCCAGTTTATGTGTTGGACTAGGTTGGATAAGATTATTTATATAATGAGTTTGAATGAATATATTATTACCATGATAATATTAAGTTGAAAATGTAAGATAAATTATGTTGTGTACTAATACCATGATATTAGTTAGATGAAATTAAATGTATAGAATTACGTTAAAATTCTCATTATGTAAAAAATAACTTTGTTACCTGGAAAATTCTCCATTCTGCATTGCACACTATATGCAAGCAACAATATATAATTTTATGTAATTTTTCATGAATTTACATAAGTAATCTCATAAAAATGAGTATATTGAATAAAAATTTACGTAATCATGTAAGTTTTCACGAACTTACTGAAATCACTTGTGTAAATTTGTAAAAACTTAAGTAATTTTATGTAGGGTTGCATATAGTGTGCATTGCACATCAAAACATACTTTTGTAAAGAAACAAAATAGTCATTTCACCTCTCATCCTATAGGATTGAATTTGAAACTCTCTGTGTCTCTTTTTTTTTTTTTTTTTTTGTCTAATTTTCATTTTAGGGGTGATTTGGAAAGTTGGTTAAAAGTTGACTTTTTGAATTTTTAAACTTCTTTTAGCTTTTTTTATGTGAAAAATGATATGACCAAAAAAGGGTTAAAAGCTAACTTTTGATTTTTTTAAAATTTGTTCCCAACCGATCCCTTAGTCTATCCCAAAATATTTATTTCTTTTTATTTTAGGTTTTGAAATTTTTCAGATTTTTAAAATTGCCCATTATACACAAACATAAACATGTTTTAAAATTTTCATGAAATGGTCTTTAATTCTTAATATTTTTCAAGTTTAGACAAGTTTTCTTTAGTTTTGGCCCAAAAGAACAAGACTTGTGGTTTTGAATTTGAGTTTTGAAGCTTAAAGGCAATTCTGGAAATTTCAGAATTCGCACTGTCCACTCGAGCGAGGAAAGTGACGCTCGAGTGTGAAAATCGAGCTCCTAGAAGTTTTACAAAATCTTACAGGTCACTCGAGCGACCAAAGTGGCGCTCGAGCGAGGACCCTTTTACTCAGTCTTCCGCTCGAGCGACCGTTGAGCGGGAATTTCACGCAACCAGTACTTTTGCCAAGTTTGCAGACCGCTCGATCGACGGAAGCTACGCTCGAGCGAACTTATTTTTGAACCCCCGCTCGAGCGAAGGAAGTTGCGCTCGAGTGAAGACCCTGTTTTTAGTAACTTTTGACTAACTCTTTTAAGTGCATATTTACATCCTCATGCCACCCAAAGTGTTCTTAGGCACCATTTGGACTCACATAGTCATGAAATAAGCTAGAAACACATAAAGAGAAAACTGAACTAAAATGAAATGGTGTTTCAGTTGTGCTTTTGTTATGTGTTTTGTTTAGGTGGACATCTGAGGCTTAGTGACAACACAAACCACTGTGAGTAAAAACTCTGTAAAGTTATGTTTGACTTTAATTGTTTTCAAATGATATGAATGATCAGTTTTCTGAAATACTACGTTTTATATGAATGAATGATTGTCCAAGTTTCTGAAATTTGTTCGTGGCATCCTTAGCATCATATGATATGCGTCTCTTTATGGGTCATCGGTATGCCTTTATGGTTGTCCCTTTATGGGTC